GATTATGGAAATACAATTGCTCCTGGTTACACTGAAACACTTATGTCTAACCCACAGAGTAATATGGTGCCATTCTCTCCTATCTGCAGGGTTTTGAAGCTTTTTTGGCATTGATATAAAGTGTTTGTCCTCGAATATCATTGGTGGGGGTGTTTCACAGTTAAATAAATGATGACAGCTTTTCAAAATGAATCATGCTCTGCTTTCCTTGACTCAGTCTCATTTTTAATCTTGGATACTTGTTTTAATAGGCTTTGATTGCCGGATAATAGCGCCAATGGATAAAAAGAAAGCCTTTTTTTTTTTTTTTTCCTTCAAAATGTTAGATCTCTCTCCAGGCAATGGAAATCTATTTATATTAAAAGGTCTTCTTAATGGAACTAGAGATAGTTTTAGAATTACAAAATACATTTTAATTCAGGTATTAATCATAGTTTTTTAATTCCTAGAAACATAGGTCCAAGTGATTATTTCAAAGACGAGTCAGTATTATCGAAGTACTTATTTTTTTCTCTCAAAACTTTAGAACCACGCACGGTTGTATAGCTGTAAGTAAAAATTATAAAAAACAAAGCAGTAACATATATAATAAAACAAAAATGTCAATGATGTAAAAGTAAAAACTTAAAGGGTTAGTTTACCCAAAAATGAAAATTCTTTATTTACAACATGAGGGCGAGTAAATACTGACAGAATTTTCATTTTTGGGTGAACTAACCCTTTTTAAATCTATTTCAGTGCCTTTCAGGTTTTATCTAACATGAATAGCATGAAGGTTTCCGATTTCCAGACATGATTTCTGTGTTCTTCATACATTATTATGCTAATCATCAAATCAGAGTTCATTTTTCTTGTCAAAAGTCTTTACGTACTTGAGACGTCTTGAGAAAACCTCTCCATCCAATAAGTTATTACTCAAGCAGTTTGAGATATTCTCTTATTCACAGTTTACACAGACTCAAAGTCAGCTGAGATGGCAGAAGATAGCAGGTAATACTGAAGGGCCAGTGCTTCCTGCAGACCTGACATCAAGGAAGCTCATTAACAATGCTGGCGATACACACAGCTTTAGATGTTTGTTGATTCAGCTAGCAACAAACCCGGCTTTTGTGGGAAGGCTTGTGGAGCTCAGTGGCATCTAATTAGCCTGTTCCATGTCTTTTCACCTTTGCCATTACAAAGGAATCACATAAAACAACTCCATTAAGCCTGGTTCATCTACAGATTCGGTATTACAAGAGCTGCATACAAAAATGTCATACTTTGAATTATGATCGAATCAGACAGTCTCACTATCGGACTACATCTTTTACTCAATTGTATTAATGTCTTATTTCAGTGTGCAAATTATGTTATTCCACCTCTTAAAGGAGTAGTTCACTTTTGAAAAAAAAAACTTTTGCTGATAATTTACTCACCCCCGTGTCATCCAAGATGTCCATGTATTTCTTTCTTCAGTCAAAAAGAAATTAAGGTTTTTGATGAAAACATTCCAGGATTTTTCTCCATATCATGCACTTTACTGGTAACCAAACGGTTTAAGGTCCAAAAGACAGTTTCAGTGCAAACTGCAAACTGTTCAAAGGGCTTTAAACGATTCCAGACGTTGAATAAGGGTCTTATCAAGCAAAATGTTCGCTCATTAAAAAAAAAAATAATAATAATAATAATAACATACAAGTTTTATAAGCTCAAATGCTCGCCTTGCTCTGTTCTGTGATAGGCGTTCGTGACTCTCCTGTTCGAACTCGTTCATCAAAATGAACAAATCTTTTTCCGTGTCATTTGGTTCATTCAACGAACGAAATGAACGAATTGATTTGGGAAAAGATTCGTTCATTTTGATGAACGAGTTTGAACAGGAGAGTCACAAACGTGCGTCACAGAACAGAGCAAGGCGAGCATTTGAGCTTATAAAACTTAAACTTTGTTATTTATATTAAATGACCGATCGTTTCGCTTGATAAGACCGTTATTCATTGTCTGGAATCGTTTAAAGCCATTTGAACAGTTTGCAGTTTGCACTGAAACTGTCTTTTGGACCTTAAACCGTTTGGTTCCCATTGAAGTCCATTATTGGATGACATGGGGGTGAGTAAATTATCAGCAATTTTTTTATTTATTTATTATTATTTTTTAAGTGAACTACTCCTTTAAATAAAACATTTCACAAAAGTATAATATATATATATATATATATATATATGAGATTAAGGTATGGTTTCTAAAATGTTTTAAAAATGTTGTACTACAACATTACTTAATTGCACCCAAAATACAATGTTTTAAAAAAAATGAGTTTGCTAATGATGGAGACTACTCAATTGTCCTGGAGAGAATGGGTCTGGGGCACTATGAATTTTAGCTATGGCCATTTTTACCATTAAAGATAAATATAGCAGGTCAGAAACCCACCGTCATAAACAGTCTTCTCAACCCTTTTTGTTTGGGTTTTATGCAAACAAAACATGCAGAACCATTAAATCTTCAGCAAAACAAGAGAAAATGTCTTCAGCGGCTGCAATACGGATGTGTGCAAGTGTGGGTGTGTGTTTAAAAGCTACAACCCTCCATTATCGAGCCCGTCTCGACCTTCCTAACACCAGAGATGTGATTTCACACATGGGGTTTTGTCTAACTTTTCCATATACCGTGGAGAGTGTGTGTGAGTGGGGGGGATTTCTTTTTGTTGTTTAGCCGATCCCTTAAATAATTCAGGGAACACTTACAATGGGACACGATCTTCGTTGAACACTTCTGGCACCATGCTCTGCTGGGCAGGATAAAAACCTGGATGAATGGTGTTAAAAATTCATTCGGGTATTTCTGACATACATCACACTTTTCTCTTTTTTCACATTTTTCTATTGGATTAATGGGTTTGAAGTGCTTTCTGAGATGGGAAGCTTTCTCACATCTGTATGGTGTCCTGAAGACGGTATTTTTTTTTCTTTTTTTTTTTTTTTAACAAACTAGTTTAAGTTTGCAGTAATTCAGGCACTAATCAGACTACGCAGAACTACGATGAAGTAACGAACACATTTACTACATAATCTATAAGGACAAGACATTGCAAATATTTAATGAGTATGCATTAAAATGCTTTGGAGTTCCTTGTCTCCATGCTCCGATGTTGAAAGTATGCCACATCGCTTCCATTTGCATACTTAGTGTTGAAGAAAGACCCACCTTGCTGTATCTCTTCCCGCCGGCCCTCATTGAGAAACACTGCTTAATTGCCAAATACTTCCATAGAGCAGGCGATAGACGTAAATTGTCATTTCCACCAGAGCCTCTGTGATCAAAGCTGCTCGTATTCACAGCATGCTGATAGGAGAGTTTAGCCTCAAGCCTGTCTCTCGCACACACACACACACACACATGCACAGCGGCAGCCTGGGTAACTTACGATGCAAAACCTCTTACAAGCCACTCGTTGATAGCTAGAACGAAGTATCTTGAGCTGGATTTCTACGTAAATCTCTTTTCAACATTTGACCAAGAGAAGAGGATAACAAGCCTACCACAAAGGTTCTTAACCACTAGGGTGACCACCCGGTTATTGCTCTCTGTTGCAGGACAGCAGATGTGATTATGCGGCCAATGCGGGACACGTGTGTTACTACTATACAATGTAAATATTGAATTACATTAGTTGGAAAGCAGCCTATTGCCAAAAAGTTGGATGATAACATTTTAGGCTTTGTGAATGTGCCCAGGTTTGAGTAATACAGTGTAATTTACTCTATTGGACCTATTCATTCCACTAAAAATAATGAACTAAAATAACTAGTACATGTAAAAACATATTTTATACTAAGTAGGGACTATTTTTCTTTATTAGACCATACAAACAATAAATGCGTTTTTACTATATTCAGTTTACCTTGAACTTACTATTAGAGCCCGACCGATAAAGGATTTTGAAGGCCGATACCGATACAAATATTTTTTGGTTTTAAAATCCGATGTTCCGGCCATTATTTATTTTTATTTTTTTCAGAAACGCGCAACAAAACATTAACAGATTTCCCTGACATTAGTTATTTGTAGCTATTTATGAGTTTTAACTAAAATAATATGATACATTTTAAAAAGAAACTTGTTTCTTTTATTGTCACACAGAACAGACTGATGATAGTGGCATTAGCTAGCTTTATGGTTAGCTAGTCTATGATGAGCCATAATTTAGCAATGGATAACGTCATACTGCAAATTGTAAAACATACGTTTTCGCTATTTACGCTTCACTCTCGGTTTATTTAACAGCAGCAAAACTGGACTTGATAGTCACAAATTTTGTTGCTTATTTGAGTTAAGAGAACTCATGGGGATGTTCTTTTAATTGTTATTCCACCAATGTATGTCTCATGACCAACTCAACGAGTGTTGCCAACAGGGACTGGGTAGAGTGCCCTCTGGTGGACAAACTATACAACTCCAACACTCATGATATGGTTCATGAAACATTTTTTGAAATATTCATGTATCTGCCTTTATAACTGCCGATACCGATAGTTTGGAAAATGACTAATATCGGCCGATAATATCGGCCTGCCGATATATCTGTCTGGCTCTACTCCATATGGTTCCTTTGCTTCATCCACACATTCGTCAAATTGCTCTCTATGCCACATTTCTTAGATATCACATTTCTTAAATATTATATTTCTTATTGTGGTATTGTAATTTCAAGGAAGAAATGAAATAACACAGACATAACTGAAATGCGGGACACCAATTCCAATTTTGGGACTGTGGTGGTCACCCTGTTAACCACTGCAATGAGCGCTTTATGCATTTAAATGCATTTGATAGAAATACTGTCAATGCACAGTCATCTCAATCTCATATGTCTTCTAAACACAGTGTCTCCAAGCAGACAACCACATCTACAACACATGGACATCCACAACCAGCAGAGTTCAAACCGAGAAGGAGATAACAAACACATCACTGACTTAATGAAAAAGAACATACGGTTTAAACGAGACACTGACCCAGTATCTGTATGGCGTTGCGGCCCGGGCGGGTCACATGATGCTGCTGGATGGTCTCGTACAACGTGGCGTGGCAGAGCAGTAAGCAGCTAACACTTATCCACAGACACAGGAGCCAGGACATGGCAGGAGCACCGGCTGAAGAGAAAAGACATCAAAGACTGATGATAAAAGCAGAACGTTTATTCTATCTGACACACACCTACATGCATGTACGATTTCAGCCCTCAGCTTTATTGAATATTGCAGTGTTAACAAGCATCATTTCACATCGGAACTTTTACTTAAAGCCAAAATATTTCAAAAATGACAATGCAGTTTTAAAGTACACAACTTTAGGTGTCCTTGTTGCAGTGTGATAATTATACATTTAAGAAATAAGTTATATTAATTAAACTACATGTACTTACTATAAGGTTTGGGTTGGGATTAGGTTTACACCGTGTCATAACTTCACGCGACGCGATAAAATTCCACACTAGACGCGATGCGACTGTGAGACGCCACAAGTCAATCAAAAATCACAGCCATTCAGAACAGCGTGTGGGCGGAGTCTCTCTGTGAAAGCGCAATGCTGGCCCGCACTCGCATTGGAAATGGGTAAGGACAGAAACAAATCAAGAAATAACATGATTAAAAATTAAAACATTAACAAAATATACTCATAGACTAATTTTGTTATGAAGTACAGTTGCATGTTTGCATAGAATTAATTTTGAACGCTATATTGAGATGAGATCTCTGTGTGGGCGGATCTGTCAGCCGCGACGTGGAAGAAATAGGAACCGTTTCTAAATTAGAAACTTTGCGTGTTGCCGTTGCGTCTGGTTAGAGGACAAAAACTCTGATTAACATGGAAAAGATACCTTTTATCGCACGTCGCGTGTATTTAGGACACGGTGTTATGGTTAGATGCAAAATGTAGTTATTACTTTAGTAACATCGTGAAATAAGTGTTACCAGCCGCATAATCACTAAATGGGATAACCTCATTTACAAGTTGCATTATATATGGCAAGATTTCTTAAAACTAGTTGATAAACTTGGACTGATCAACACTGGAACACACAAAACACATGAGTTCCCTCATGACTGAACAAAAAGCCATTTAATAATCCATGATTTGTAATCACAACATTTTTTTCCTTTTGTCAAATCAACTTGATTTATATAGTTCAGATAACATAATATTTTGAGTTCAATGAACTTAATTTTAAGACAGCCAGGTTACTTAATTTTTTTAAGTTAAACCAACAATATTTTTTTTTACAGTGGCAACCAAAACAAAAATACAACTCTTGCGATGTTTACCAAGTCCAACTTTAAATTTACAAGGCAGATGCTAACACCAGAATTATTAACACTTTTAAATGACTCCTTGACTAATCCACTGACAAAAACAAAAAAAACAAAAATCCACTTTAAATGGCAAACAGTGTTTAATTAATGGATTTCACATTGAGTTATCCTGCACTCTTCAGCCTGACACGACGGATCATCACTCAGAGTCCCCTCAAATGACATTGAAATTTCCAATGAATATTCATCAAGACCCAAAATTAAGCATATAATTATTAACAGCACCATTGTAATCCTCTTTGCTCCACTAAAGCCTCCTTTAATCCACAGTTTTGTGGAAATGTGAACCGTTCCCAGAGGAGTGCTATTATCTCACTGGCTGGCAAACTGCCTCAAAAACTTCAACTGTCTTCTTTCAACACAATAAAAGGAGATTTAGCACATGCAACATGCAACAGAAGATGATCATCTTCAAGCAAAAAAAACATCAACGTTGGACTTTAGAAGGTCACCTAAACCTCAACACCTCCACAATGTATTCCGTTGCATATCTTTCATTTTTCCAGCTACTTTTATAAGTCGCTCCTCCATGACATGGTGTCTGAGATTCCGCCAGGTTATTGAGAGCAGCTTTGGGAGTCGGTGCTCGCAGCTGTCGTTTAATTAATGCATTGATCTGATAAATCATCTGGTCGGATGCTTTTACATGTTACTTTAAGATCCGCGTGTTCATCACTGTCCTCGGACACACCTGCGCAAGACCAACGCGGCACTCTACACTTAAAAAGGTGTGCCTAAACATTTTTGAGTGCATAAATAAATAATAAAAACTAAATATGAATATTATTATGATTAGGTGCATTATGTAGTTTCACATTTCAGTCTCAGGGAAAAAAAGATGTTATAAGTACAAAATAAAGCCCACATGTGTTATTGGATGTAAAATATTGTTACATCTTATGTCCACCTATGCCACAGCATCAGCATGGAGCTTAGAAAGGATCGGCAGCAAAATCCTATAAGCTCATCAGATCTGGACCGTATTGAAACCGTCAACTCTTAGGATGTTTGATAAGCTGTCAATGACTCACGAGATGCACAAAATACATGCTTAAAAGTGGCTGGTCAAGTTCAAATTCAAAAAAAGCACACACCTGCTGACTTTCTAGTCTTTTTTTGTGAAATGACCACCTATAGATTAGGATTTGATCTTTTCCTTGCATTCTACCAAGACAGAAGTATCACACCTAATCTTACCTCTGAGACACAGTCAGGAGAACGTTAAAGAAACGTGCCGTCAATGTCCATCCAATATCCTCATCACATAATCATAAATCCATCCATGCTCACGGGAAAGAGCTTCCCAGCAAAAGTTCCTGCTCGGATCTGCGGATCAGAGGAGGGTGAGGAGGGGGGGAGGGATGAGGAGACTTTTGTTCCTGCTCCTACCCTTGATCCCCTCTTCTGTTGTAAGTCCTCCTGGCTGCAATCCACCGAACACAGTCAGGCATCCGACAGCAGAAACTCCCGTCACAGCTGTGAAACGCTGTCAGAAACTAGCTGGGGTTTGAGGGACGAGCAGCTTGTCATGCCACCTTTAAATCACCAGAGAAGCAACGTATTCCTCCTGTTTCCCAGCCTCCTCACGCTTCCCTCTGAAGGTGAAGCTTCTTTGGGGGATAACAAGCTAATTTGCCTCTTCACTTTTTGGTCCTGCACATGCGACGACACTTCTCTCTCTCTCTCTCTCGTGCGCTCTCTCTCTCCGTCCCTCTCTCCTCTCAGCTCTTCTCTCCCATTGAGAAGCCACTCAGTCTGAGGCTCTCCTCTTCCCAGTGTACTGATTGGTGTGCACACGCATGTGTGTGTGAGTGCAGGCGTGCTTGTGTGTATGACAATACTGCCTTCGCGAGTGGGAGAGCGAGATGCATCACATGTCTTAAAGCAAGACTGCCCACTGTAGCCAAACAAAAAAGGCACCTATACAGTTGATATAACCTTGTGTGTGTGTGTGTGTGTGTGTTTTCTGTGTGCAACTGCAGTCTAGAAAGGAGAAAGAAAGTGTGGTTTAATTTCCCAATATGCTTCCTTAATTCTTCAGATTTTGGAGGGTTTGAACAAAGAGACTGAAATATGCTCAGAGCAAAACACGTTTAATAGAAGTGTGTCCGCAGCTGCGTTTGCAATCATCTCATTATCCTGAGATTCCTGCTGTGTTTCTTTGCCTGTTTGTACAATCTAAATGGCTCTTTGTGTTGCGCGCAGCTCTCGCTGGTTGTTGAATGTTGCCAGAATAAAGTTGCAGCTGGCATGCCAGGCGCACCAACACAGTCGTCCCCTTTATGCGTTTTAGCGGTTGTGGGAATTCAGAGGTTTTTATGATCTGAGATTATTTTTGGAAAATAAATAATGACAATAAAAAAAATAAAATAATAATAAAATAATAAATAAGCAGACAAATGATATAATTATATTTAAAATAAATTTTAAATGATACAAAAATTACTAATTTACTAGCCTACTAGTAATAATACTACTAATAAAAAATATGTTAGTAGTATTATTATACTAGAAATATATAAAAGCAAAATGAACAAATAAATGATAAAAATAGGACATCACACAAATAATTTTACAACACACACATACTGTAAAAAAAAAAAAATCACGATTTGTTACCATAACATTTTTTTCTTCTGTCAACTCAACTTAGATTATTTATGTGGTTCAGATAACATAATATTTTGAGTTTCTGATATTAAATCAATCTCCTTACTTTCAATTTCAATGATCTTAAATTTAAGGCATCCAGGTTACTTCCTTTTTTAAGTTAAACCAACATTATTTTTTTATAGTGTATATATATATATATATATATATATATATATATATATATATATATATATATATATATATAAAGAGTTCAGATGCAAAAGCCTCTAAATGCCATTTGAAATTTTCTTCTTTAATGATGATTTTTATCAAGCTTGTAAATTTAAGTTCAGTGATTTCACTTAAATGGCAATGATAATTATCTATTAATTGTTATTTAAGTGAAATTACTGAACTTAAATATACAAGTTTGATAAAAATCATCATTAAAGAAGAAAATTTCAAATGGCATTTAGAGGCTTTTGCATCTGAACTCTTCATATATATATATATATATATATATATATATATATATACACACACACTGTAAAAAAAACATTTCAAAACAAAACATTCAAGATTTGTTATCACAACATTTTTGTCTATTGTCAAGTCAACTTAAATAATTTATTTAGTTCAGATAACTTATTATTTTAAGTTTCTGAGGATTAAATCAATCTCCTTCATTGTATTAACTCACTTTTTTCCAGTTTACTCAACTTAAAATTGTAAAGGCAACCAGGTTACTTAATTTTAAGTTAAACCAACAATATTTTTTACAGTATATATATATATATATATATATATATATATAGTATTTATTGTTATTTATATTATTATTACTACTACTATTAGTATTATTATCAGTTATTTTTTGATGTAAAGTAATGTTACCTTACTTTTCCTCATCTAAGCTGGGTTTGTTTGTTTTAATAACAAAAAAGTTCTATGCTTTAGCAAAAAAAGCCCCTTTCACACTAAAGGCCCTATCTTGCATTCGGCGCAATTGAATTTGTACAACGACGCATGTATCATTCCTATTTTGCACAAGACGCACAGCGGACTTTTCCCTCCACAGACGCACGTCGGTACATTAGGGAATGAACTTCCGCTCCCGGGGGCGGTTCAGTGAAAAGAGGACGGGTGTTACGGCGCAAACATTCCCTGGTGCTCTTTTGCAGTTCCAGAAAACAATTCCGCCACAGACCAGGAAAAACCTAGTCCAAAATCAGTGGCGCGTTCTTCAGATGTTATTCTAAGAAGGGCGCATGCTTGGCCATAATGTAGTGTGTACACAACGCGTTTTTGCTTTTCTCATCTATGCAGCAGTTCTCATTTTTACAACCCATACATAATTACAAGGAAAAATATTAACACACGAAGGAAATCATTGTGGTGTCCATGATGTAGGCATAAATCTGCTTACACATTTACCCAAATTATTATACGCCTGTTTAACCGAAGCTAATTTGGGTGGGTTTCTCCCATTCCCATACAATATCACTTCTCTGTCTTTTACGGCCCTGAGGAGAACATCTGTCTCCTCGGCTGTGAACCGCTCCTGGCGTGCGCCTAGTAAATCCGCCATAATAATAGCATTCTGCCATGGAACAAGCGTGCTTGCCCTTGAAGGGAATGTGAGAAGACGCTCTGATTGGTGTATTGCACATTACACCCGAACCACACCTATGAGTAATGTAGCTACTTCAGACCAACCCATTTTAGATAAGAGTCAGGCGCAAGAGTCATTTATCCCATCGGTAAAATAGCAACAGTGCCCACAAACTAGCGAGATCCGCCCACAGTTACTTGCATTTCGCTTTTGATATTTGCGTTTCAGAACGTCAAAATAGAGGCCTAAAAGTAAAACGAATAAGCCACAGGCTGAAGGAAATTCAAATTCACACCTGTACAGTAGAGGGTGCAGCTCACAAATGTGATGTTTATCTCATTGCTTATTAGGTTGAATTGGATCATCAAAAGTCAGCAGCAAAGACATTTGTTAATAAAGTTGAATATATAAAGTGTTTTTTGTGTAATTTAACATATTTAATTATTGCACGTTTGCGTATTCCGAGTTTGCATTATACCGTTTTATTTTCAATTTGGAGAAACGGAATGTTTTTTGCGCAAGTGAATTGAGTAAATACATGCTGATATTTAGACTCAAACTATAATAATGATCATGTTCACACAGTGAACAATGCCTCTGGACTGCCGCTACTTGTTTGAAAAAGTAAGTCAGATATTTTGTTGTAATTTTAAAAGCATACTTGAAAAACGTTATCTGATTAAGTTAAATGTGATTCTAATCATAATTTTCACATAATTTTACTGATTCCCACAGTCTACATGGTTAATATAAATGGGTCCGTGCATTGGGTCTAAAAGTGACAGCAGCCTAATATACCCTGCCAAATTATGATTTTAAAAATATCTACAGTATATGCTATCAATGTCAAAATTGTGCCTTTAAGACCCATGTTTGGGGGTTCCCTGCGTTAGTTGGACAGGGGCTGAAATATGCTGAGCCAATCTGTATTCTTTTTCCATTTCCCTCTAAATTAAATATGTTCGTTCAAGGTAACCTTGTCGAATGCATCCTTCCAACACAGTAGGTATTTTTACTTCAGATTCAGTCATTTTAGTCATTTAACTTATTTTAGTTATTTGCCAAAGCAACGTTTCCATGTTCTAGTTTTTCATCTAATATTTATTTTAGCTTTATTTCAATAACCAAAAACTATTTTTAAATGGGTCATGAAATGGAAAATGTTTAATCATTGTCCTGGATATGCAAACATATGAGAGGTTAGTCTACAATAAAATATTACTTCTCCAACCACATCTATGCTGTATTAGCAACAGAAACCCACTGTATCTCGGGGGCCAACTGGGATATGAAATGTAGGCAAACCAAGTCTCTTGAAATTTTACAGGCGTATGCTGAGGCAGTCGTGTCAAAATCTATTCCTACTTTCTTGACACAACTGACTACATCGTGACATTTCAGTGACAGTAAAGCTGACAAATGCTGCATAAAGCAGCTGGAGCGGAGAACCTGCACACACTGTCGTCACATGAATATCTAAGAGCTGGAAATATGTGTGAGAGCGAGAGCGAGTACAAGGGTAGATGAGCGAATCAAGATCGGACAGATAAAGCACTTGACTTCCCCAACTGATGCTTAAATCTGAGATTCATTTCTGAGGGTAGGAACATTGTTCTACATGAGCGCAGACAGTGAGCCTAGCCAAAGGGTGTTTTTTGTCCTGCTGTTGTCTGAGACACTTGCTGGTCTCCACACGCAAGACTGCCAAGACTGGAATCGCAGGCTGCAGTGGCACAAATGTTGTTAAGGGGTACAGGGGAAACGTACAGTGTAATGAAACAGTAAGAGGTAGATATTTATTCCTTTCTCAGTAGGGTGCCCTAAAGAGACCAAGTAACTGAGGTAAGGTAATTGGCATCCATTTAAGAGTAAATGTTAACAAGTTTTGTTTTTTTCTGCATGTACACCAGTAGTGACTGATGATGCATGACACTTAATCACATTGCAATGGCTTGAGATTGTCTACAAATGGCAAACTGCATAAAACAAACTTCATAAAAAGTTTTCAATTAATTTTACAGTGTAAAATACCTAAAAACCCTTCAAATGAATTTATTAGTACTACTATAGTATTAAAGATACAATCTCTAACTAGATGATAAAAAAAATGCTGAAAAGCTATTAAAATTGACTATGCTACAACTGCAAAGCTAATTTTTATATAGGCCTACATATGGTTCAAATTTAAAGGTGCTCTAAGCGATGTCACACGTTTTTTAGGCCAAAACATTTTTTGTCACATACAGCAAACATCTCCTCACTATCCGCTAGCTGCCTGTCCCCTAAACACACTGTAAAAAAAACGAGGTCTATGCAGACAACCCAGGCTCCACAAATGGCAACAAAATCAAACTGCGGCAACCCGCTCCACGAAACATAACAAACTGTTCCAGCCAATAACTAACTAGAAGGCCCTGGGGGTGGGGGTCGGGGGGTCAGTGCAGATGAAGAGGAGGGAAGGTCTATCTAGCCTCGTCAACAAGAAGTCACGTCACCCGACATCGCTTAGAGCACCTTTAAATAAGACGATAAGAAAGACTGCAATATTTCAATCTATTACTGTGTGTTCACACCGGACGCGAATAGCGAGTCTACCGCGTCTAGTT